GGAGAGGGAGAGGGAGAGAGAGAGAGAGAGAGAGAGAGAGAGAGAGAAATGTTTTCTAATTTTTTTAGTAAACTTACACATAAATTGTCAGCTATTCCCAATTATAGCAAGTAGAAAAGTTTTGCACCAAAACAAAAAACAAATTAAAAAAAACCACAAAACCTCTAAAAAAACTCACAACAGACATATTACTATCATAGAAGGCTGATTTACTCATTCTTTCCCTTTGAAAGATCCCTTTCAAACCCCATAGCTTCCATAAGTTGCCTAGAACAGACCATCCTATGTCCTTGGGCATGGGGAAAAACTGGAAATTACAAAGTGATCAGAGAACTGATGGTGATATCATCCAATCTCATTTTCTGTCACAATTGACAGAAGACAAAAAAACAGGTTGTTTTTGTTTTCTTGAAACAACTGCAGGAAGTTCAATTTTTTCCAAACTGAACCTCCTATTAACTTTTTTTTTGCCTTGCAAGAGACGACTTCCCAGTGGCATTGAAAAAGATTATGGTCTGCCTATTTCTGAAAAAGCCATGATCAGATCCAATGGTGATCGGCAACCTCCAATCCCACTTTGTTGACGAGAGAGAACAGACAGAAGTTAAACCCTAATATGTTTAGAGCTGCAATATTTAACTTTTATTTTTGTTGCTTCTTATGTTTGGCTTGTGTTTTTATTTTATGTAAACTGAGCATTGAACTGTACAATGTTTTTTACTATAATTCTTAATATATAAATTTAAGAGGATTAAAAAAATTGACAAGATATGTAAAGCAAGCAACAGTGTATTCACCACAATTTTCTCTGATGAAATATAAAAACAATCATGACAAAATTCTACAGTAAAGGTCAACAATAGAAATTTCAGACAATCTCAGAGTATATTCATTAATTGGCAGAGACATGGTTAACAAAGTAAGCATGGCAACAGACCAGCCAATGGGAGCTGACAGCCTGGGTGTGGTTTGGCTCTGTGTGCTTTGCTGAAAATTGAAAGTGAAATTAGACTTGCTTGCTTGCTAAGAAACTGGGTTCTGCTCTGAGCTGCTTCTGCTTGTGTCTTTTGCTTATGTTACGATGAAAGAATCTACAAATGGTATTGTAAACTTTACCCATATTAATATGTTTATAAAGAAGTTAATTATCATGCTAAATCAGTCTCTGTGTTTTCTGGACTTGAATTTCTGCTGCAAACTCTAACAGAAGAGGAATCTGTAAACAGAACAAAAAACTGAAGAGCACAGTTCTTCTGCAGTTACAAATAAAAGCCAAAAGAGACAAAGGTACTACTCTTTTAAAATCACATTGAATGTAAATTCATTGAAAATTATTATTTTTTAAATGTAAATGCCTGTGGCTGTCCATTTGTTACAGCTCTTTAAACAGAACAGCTTGACAGTGCTGAATTGAGCAAGACCTTATGTTTGCTGAAATGTGGTGCTAATCGTTGACTCTCGATGAAATCAGGAGCCAGTCATACAAATTGTACTTTTCTATTCTTCTAGCATCCTCTTTTCTCTAAACCATGTTTAGTTTTCTAGTCAGCTGCTCTTTGACATTACAAACCCAGTGTACTGTGTTTTTCGGCCCTATGTCATATTTTCAATTTCAGATTAAATTCATTCACCTTTGGTATCAAAAACAGCTGAAATAAATATAGCAAAACCAACTGATTCTTAACTTATCTTAGATAAGGGTACTTCTGATCATTCAAAGGGAACTCTGTTGCATGTTATTCTGGGTATACATGTAATGAATAAATAAATACTTTGTCTAGAATTAGCTTGAAGTTCTCTGTGTAACATGCAATAAATCAGGTATTTTCACAATGTGGGAGAAGGAACCAATTTTTAAACAGCCAGATCATACAGAATTGCTTCAGCCCTAACACATGTTCTAAAAAAAGAAATCAAGGACCCAATCAGGAAGAAAGAGAAAGAAAAAAATTGCTATGCTTAATTGCCACAGATACACACACTATTTTTCTAGTCTTGAATACACTGAAGCTCCCCACAACTATATTTTACTATAAACACACACTCCAATAGTAGATTACTCTGCAGGACTGCCCAACATTAGGATGCTGTAGTGTATGCCATAAAAATAATTCAGAAAGTGTCAATAATTGAGATTTAACAAACAGGAGAGAGATGCTGTGTTCACACAATGCCTGTATGATTTTCAAAGTGTGCACAGCTTTCTTTAACTCCACAACTGCTTTCCCACAAATGGATCCAGTGTTATTCAGGAATGTACAGAACTTACAGTGTTATTCAGGAACTTACAGAATACAGAACAGGCATTCGTTGATTAAAAATACATATAAGCAGGAACATATTTTTCTTAAACAAGCAAAAAACATATTGCCTTTCCTTAATCTTTTAATTTTTGGAAGTACTAAAAACTTCCCAAAGAGCTAGAAAATAGCTCTTTGTCTTTTATGGTTAATTAATCTGGAAATTATGAACTATTGGATCTGGGATCCCTCACTTTTAGGCTTCCATGGATGCATTTCCTTTGTCCACAAGCATTTTTCCATAGATACAGACAGACCAATTTGGAGGCTTTTTTGGGTTGGATAATAATCTATATTCAAATGGTTTAGTAGCGAAAACAATCATTCAGATTCAACCCCAAAATATTAAGTAATAATGACGCAAGATATGACTCAGAAACATTTTGAGTCTTTTCACGAACAATTGCCTTTTTAACAAAACATTAACAATTCTCCAACGGTTAAAATGTAGTTACCTATTCTCTAAAGACAAACCTTTCTTTCTAATCAATGCCAGGGTTCCGTCAAACTGTCCTGTGTTAAATACCAGAATAGTTGTTCATTGGCATCTTAGATTTTTTTAACATGGACACAGTTGGACACATAGTAGCACCATGTTTGAAAAATGCCTAATAAGAAAAATGGCATGTTAGACTTTTAAAGCAGGTGTCAGCCTTTAGGCACACTGTTCTATAAAAGCATTAAGCTGAACCTACAGCAACTTCAGAAAATATTTTAAAGCAGGTAAAGATGCAATACAACTTCTGCTGTAGCATCATATAATGAAGGAACAGTAATATTTTTTAGAGCCCTACTTTATTTTCTGTAGCAATGCTGGGTTTTTTTTTACAAGCAGGAAAAAGCTGATACTTGCACTCCTAAATAAGATGTCTTGTAAGTCTTCAGGGGATTTTTCTTCACCTGGTCAATCAGAGGTCAGAATAGTATATTGCCATAAGGGAGATACATTGTCACAGAGCAAACAAAAGATGCTACAGGAGTCAAACCTCCCCTAAGACCTTGAGGAACATGTTTTTAATGACATTCTAAACATCATCAGAGTCACAGTAATATGGGTTTCTGCAGGGATGCTGTTTTAGAGGATCTATGACAGATATCTGCTGTGGGATGGCCTCCTCCCATCTGGGTCCTGTTCTCAGAGCTACATGGTAATTTATACTGAGACTTCCAAAGAGCCCAGGCATGTCAGTGGAGTGGACTATTTCTTCCTGTTTCCCATGTTCTTCAGAATATCAATCTTATGAAATGTAGGCTTCATGATTGGTATGCCCATTAGTACACAAAAAAAGGCTCCACAAAACTTGTGTGGTGGCTCCCTCTCCCATCACATACAAGTGCTGACTTTTATTGTGGCATTTTTCTTCCTCCATGGGTGGGTGCATAGATAAATGATAGATCGATAGAGATAGATAGATAGACAGACAGACAGACAGACAGACATTTTTATCTATAAGAATATTACAATGATTTTCAGTATTTAGATCAGTATTAACAGAATGCTACTTGGGTTGCTAAGTGTGTATGCCAAGTGAGATGTGAGACACACTGAGAGGGGCTTCAGAGAAA